GAAGCTGTGCCAGGCCAGGAGGTGAAGGCCATCCATGCTAACCCGAAGATCTGGGAATTTGTCCCAAGGTCAACAGGAAACCATGGGAGGGTTTTAAGTGAAGGAGGGCAGGCTCAAATGGAAGGTGACAAGAGTGAAGGCTGCTCGGAGCAGGGAGCTGGCTTGAGCTCCAATGGGAGAGGATGAAGGGCTGATGCAGGCAGGAGGCTGTGGGGATGGGAGCAGGGTTGCATGGCAGGTGATGGGGAGAGAAGAGGCTAGACTAGCCCAGCCAGTGTGGCTCAGCAGTTGAGCGTTGACCTATGAACCAAGAAGACATGGTTCGGGTTTGATTCCCGATCAAGGCACATGCCTGGGTTGCCAGCTCGATCCCCAGTGTGGGATGTGCAGGAAGCAAGCGATCAATGATTCTCTTGCATGATTGATGCTTCTATTTCTCTCTCCCTTCCTCTCTGAACTACATATATTTTAAAAGAGGCTAGGCTAACGCTCTGTCTTGAGGGATCGGGATGGGCTGTGGGGCCTAACAGGTCTGGGGAAGATGTTTGGTATGTAGACCTGGGGTTCGTGGCTGGGTCTCAGGGTAGGGATTAGAGATGGAGCCAGAGCTTGGAGCCATCCTCGTGGAAGTAGTCAGGAGAACATGGAGGCAGGGGGAGGAAACGATGCCTGGAAAAGTTTTACAATGAGGACTTCACAGACCCCCGCCCCCACCCACACCCCAACCATTGTGGAATCTTGGAACTCCCTTTTCCTTAGTATTTCCAGGAGTGTGGCCAGTGATAGCTGCCTTTAGCTACATCAGCTGTTTCTTCTCACCCCTCTGCCTGTTCATTTATTGAGCATTTACTGTGTGCCAGCTCGGCAGGGACCAAGACAGGCTTTGTCCCCACACAGCCTGGTACTAGGGGGAGACAAGTAATGACTAGAACAATCCAGGAAGAAACATGATCATGTCAAAAACAAAACAAACTCTGTTAGGACCTAGAAAGAGAGAGAATAGGATGCAGTGTTTGAAAATAGCAGGTAAATGCCTCTTAAATGGGTGGCCAGCAGGGGCCTATCTGAGGAGGTGACATTTGAGCTGAGACTTGAATGATGAGAAACAAGGGAACAGTGTTCCCGGTAGAGGGACTAGTCAGTTCCAAGGCCTGAGGCAGGACTGTGCCTGGTGAGTTGGAGGAACAGTGAGGAGGCCAGTGTGGCTGGAGGAACAGTGAGGTGGCCAGTGAGTGAGGGTGAGGGTGAAGAGAGTTGGAATCAGGGAGGGGAAGACAGAGAGGAGGTTTGTGCAGGGCTTTGTGGGAAGAGGGAGGAATTTGGATTTTACTTTGGTGGCAATAGGGAGCCATGGAATACTCCCTTCAACACACAGACACTTTCAGGATGTCTCTTCCCCTCCCCTCCCATGGCTTTCCATTTTTATCCTTCAGGTCTCATCTCCAGTGTTAACCTCCTCAAAGAGGCCTCCCCCAGATACCCCAGATAAGTAGGTTCTCTCTTGTCTACTTTTTTTTTTTTGCAGAATTTTATGATTTTATTAACACAAATATAATGTGTATACAATCTGTCTATTCATTTTCTTTGCTGCGCAGCCTGGCATTGGGATCGGTGACTCTGAGGGCCAGCTAGCTGGGCTGCTCTTTCCACAGTGGCTTTGCGGTTCTTTGAGGAGACGTTGTGAGCATCTCAGCACAGTAAGATCTGCTCAGAAAGGCCATCCGGACCGGACCGCACACCGCTCCCTGCCCGCCCAGCGGCTCCCACGGCGGCCACCAGGTAGGTATTTGCTTCCTTGTTTTCCTCTCTTGTGCTTTCACCCGGGGGAGGGGGGGCCGCTGTTTGCGGGACTGGACGCGGGTCTCAGTGTCCCTCCCGGCCCTTTGATGGCAATAGGGAGCCATGGAATACTCCCTTCAACACACAGACACTTTCAGGATGTCTCTTCCCTTCCCCTCCCCTCCCACGGCTTTCCATTTTTATCCTTCAGGTCTCATCTCCAGTGTTAACCTCCTCAAAGAGGCCTCCCCCAGATACCCCAGATAAGTAGGTTCTCTCTTGTCTACTTTTTTTTTTTTGCAGAATTTTATGATTTTATTAACACAAATATAATGTGTATACAATCTGTCTATTCATTTTCTTTGCTGCGCAGCCTGGCATTGGGATCGGTGACTCTGAGGGCCAGCTAGCTGGGCTGCTCTTTCCACAGTGGCTTTGCGGTTCTTTGAGGAGACGTTGTGAGCATCTCAGCACAGTAAGATCTGCTGCACATCAGCAGCACTTCAAGCTCCTCAACTTCCAGAAACTTCCGAAAGCCACTGGGCAGCATGTGCTTTGTTTTCTTGTTGCTCCCATAACCAAGGCTGGGCATCAAGATCTGGCCCTTGAATCTTCTACGCACCCTATTGTCAATGCCTCTGGGTTTCCGCCAGTTCTGCTTAATTTTGACATATCGGTGTGACTGGTGCCAGATGAACTTCTTGGTCCTCTTTTTGACAATCTTGTGTTTCACCAGGGGTCTGAGGACAGCCATGGTGCCGAGTAGGAGATGGCTGCCACCTCCGTAGGCAGCACCGAGGAAGAGAGGGGTCTCTTGTCTACTTCTATCACTGCTCCCTAAACTTTCTTTGTGCACATAAATAATTCCCTAATTATCAAGTCGTGATCTTGTCAGACAAGGCCACAATCTGTTCTCCTTCACTCACCCTTGTATTCCTGGTGCCTGAAGGATGTCTGGCATATAGTAGATGCTCAATAAATTTGTTGGCTGGAAAGTGATACTTTTAAGTTTGATAAACACTATTGTATGCTTTCACTCACCTACAGACATGGGTGCAGACATTAACACAGGGCAAGAGTTTTTCCTCTGTTTAGTTCCCTTCTTTTTTTAAAAAAAAATATTTTTATTGATTTCAGAGAGGAAGGGAGAGGGAGAGGGAGATAGAAACATCCATGATGAGAGAGAACCATTGATTGGCTGCCTCCTGCACGACCCTACTGGGGATCAAGCCCGAAACCTAGGCATGTGCTGTGACAGGGAATCGAACCATGACCTCCTGGTTCATAGGTCCAAGCTCAATCACTGAGCCACACAGGCTGGGCTGTTTTGTTCCCTTCTGAGCCTCACTGCCTAGAGCCGTGGTCGGCAAACTGCGACTCTCGAGCTCTTTGGCCCCCCCTTGAGTGCTCTGCCTAAGCCTTAGGAGTACCCTAATTAATAACAATGTACCTACCTATATAGTTTAAGTTTAAAAAATTTGGCTCTCCTCAGAAATTTCAATCGTTGTACTGTTGATATTTGGCTCTGTTGACTAATGAGTTTGCCGACCACTG